TTGTTTCTCCCTGCACAGGGGACATGAGTGCTTAGATGTAGTGTTTGCAGCAGATCACGTACTTGGTTTTGGAAGTGGGATGAAGATAGGACTAACTGGTCTACCAACAGTGATTCTCCAGTTTTTTCTTGCCACCATAGACCCTGCTTCATGCTACAAAGTTGAGGGAGCTCCCATCTACCCATAAGGAAAAGGAAGCAGGGTGTGCCACCCCTGCTGTCATAGTAGTAGGTAAAGAGTCCAAGCTCAAAATGGCAGATGATTCAGTCTCAGATCAGCCACGTGGACTTGCCAGGTGTCTGGCTAACTAAATACTACCTATGAAGTCACCAGACAAATGGGTGTTCTGTATCTGGGAGCAGGGAAAGAAGGCACAATAAATCATGCAAGCATGTCAGAATTAACATGGAAGGCTGTGGGGTTGGAGAGAACAGTGTTACTGTGTGGATCTGCATAATCCATTTGTGCTATGCATAGCCTGAATCCTATAGAAGATGGTAAGGGAGTATATGAGCCAGAAGAAAATTCTAGATTGTTTGCTCCCCTTGCTGTGATCCACATGGCCTGTTCCCTTCATTGTCTGAAGTAGAGAAAACCAGTTGGTAGTGTGGCCTCAATTTGCCACTGTAGCACTTCAGCATACTTCTACTTACTACAGCACTGGGAGGGTTCTCCCACTGGCATTGGTAATCCATCTCCCAGGCAGTAGCTAGGTCAATGGAAGAATTCTTCTGTTAACTTAGTGCTGTCTACATTGAGGGGTAGGTCATCTCAACTACATCTCTCATGGATGTGGATTTTACACACTCCTGAGCTACATAGCTATGCAATATAACTTCTCAGGGTCGGCAAGCCCTAACAGCTCAGCACTGCTTTGCTGGGGCATTAAAGACCTAGGCAGTTTCTAACTGGTCTACACAGAAACTGTCAATCTAGCTACCACCTCTCAGGGAAATGGAGCAACTACAGTGACTGGACAACCCCATCGGTCGCTGTAGAGAGAGTGGCTACACTGACCACTGCTGCAGTACCGCTGTAGCATTTCAAATATAGACATAGCCTAAGAGGCAAAGGAATTAGGGATAACGTAGGGTGACTGAGTAGAAGTACATTACCACACAAACCCAACAAATTACTTTTCATTTGGTCAAACTAGATTGGCATTATCTAGAGCTGGGATGTCAGTTTACCTTTGGGCTAGTGGGCACATTTTTCTGGAAGGGCTCCAGAGGGGTCTCCCCACATTTCCCCCATGTGTCTCCTGGCCCTGCCTACCAGCACATGTACTCTCACCCAGACCTGCCTGCCCCACCCCCCATGCCTTTAACCCCTCCCATATTGGCCCCTACCGCCACCCTGGTAGTGCAGTGGGGCTAGCTCTGTACCACTGCTGGCATGTCCCTGTGGCCTGGGGGAGATGTGTGCAGAGCTGTCCCATCCATAGGAAAAAGAGGAGCTATCAGGTTAGCCTGGGAGATGATGGTAGAGCACAGCACAGGATGCTGTGTTACACCGCTTCCCTGCAAATCCCACTGCTGTGGTGAGTGCGGGAGGGCCTGGCCCTTGCTGCTACCACATGCCAGGGCCACCAGCAAGCCCTAAGGCTGCATTTTTCAAGGCAGGAGGTTTAAGGGAAGGGATGCAATGGGGGGAGAAGAGAGTAATATGGGGCAGGCAAAGGTGGTGCGGGGACAGAGCAGGGGCTGGACTTGGGGGAAGGGTGAAGGCACCTGCCCAGGGCTGCAGGGACACTCATGCTAGCAACCATGAACAAGCCGGATTGTGAAACGGCAGATGACTCAGGCTGTGAGTTTGGGACCACTGGTCATGGCTTTAAAGAGAGCCCTTTTCTTTCTATCCTACTACTTTTTCAGCTAGTCAGGCATGGTGTCCTTTCTAAATACTGCAGTCTCTTCAGGGCCGGACTTAAGTCATGCTGAGGCCCTGAAGTGTGTCAAGTTTAAGAGGTCCCACAGCATTACCAAAAACAGAAAGGACAATGAAAATAAAATAAAGGGGTTGTTTTTTGCAACCGGTACTTAGGTGAAAATGCAACTAAAAACTAGTAATTTTTTTGTAGTTAGGGGCCCCTCATAATCTGAGGCCCCTCATAATCTAAGGCCCTAAGCTGTAATTTACTTAGCTGGTGCATAAATCCAGCACTGTCCCTTTCAGTAAAGTAACTGATCTAGTTGGAGTCATCAGCACACAATTTGGAGCAGCTGGTGTTTGTGCCAGAGTGAAACTTGCACATACTTACAGCTTTCTACAAGATCAGTAAATTTCTATGGGCAGTGAACTATTGCTGTAGATAGATACAGCCAGGAGGGTGGGCAATGGATTGGCTGAGGTAAGGCTGGTGTGTTTCTGTTCTCCGCTTTCCCATTGATTAAATATCTGAATAAATACCTGAAGATTGCGATCACTTAGCTTCTTTAAAGCTAGATCAGTGGTGGGCAGCCTATGGCCCGCAAGCGGCCCAACGGGGTTCTCTGTGTGGCCCACAGGACATTTTGTTTAATGTTGCCCATGCACAGGCTTGCCAGATTCTGCTGGTTTCCATCCACATCGTTTTCCCTTAGTGGTAGTACTAAAGAGTCATGCACATAAAGCAAGGGCATGTGAAATGAGATGCATGCGGATTGCACACAACATTGCTTGAGAGCCATGTGCACCCTCTGTATCCAATCAAAATGCTGCTATGGTTCAGCTGGCACACCCTGCAAATTCTAGGCATGCAAGCACAATTAGCAAGACTACCCTATCCTGAGAGACTGTCTTAATTACAGCAATCTTGCAGCCCAGTGCGATGAAAAAGGGACACTCATGCAGCCCACTCCCTGCCTTTTGCTGAGCTACCTCATCCCTATTCCTTAATTGTCTGTACAAGTGACATTATCAGGACATAGCTTTGCAACAGGTTAGAACCTGTCTTCCCCATTCTTCATTTGAGTTGTGTCCTGCCCAGCTCTTCTATGATGCCATTCTTTCTCCTCCAACTAGAAGTACAATTGTCTCTCATTACAGCTGTGGCAGACATTCCCCATAGTCTCTCACCTGCATCCTGTCCTTAGCCTGACCCTATTCCATCAGCATTCTCTGTAGCTCTAGCGAAAGGGCAGCCCTTCCAAAACCAGTTTGGGGAGCAGTTCACCTTAACAGCCCAAGCTTTTGGCATTTCAGCAGTGTGCCGGGACAAGATGGTAGGTAGATCCTTTCAGGTTCTGCTGTACTCAGCTGGACTATTCCTGTGGTATGCAGTGTTGAAGCTGACCTGAACAGCACTATGTAAGCTCAAAAACTTGTCTCTCTCACCAGGAAGAAGTTGGTCCAATAAAAGATACTGCCTCACTCACCTTGTCTCTCTCTTCCTGAGGTATCAGTTGGTACATAACCTAATGTAGAAAAGCCTTTAAAAATGGAAGCAATAGGAGCTGCTTTCTACAGAGCACCCATCTGGACAAGGTTACTGCCACTGATAAATCAGTACTCTTCCCTGAATGCTTTCAGACAGCACTTAGCTCACAAGGAAAAACAGTGGAAGGTGAATACAGGTGTTTCATCAAAATGTACTGAGAAGCTAGTTCAGCAAAATAACAAAACAGGCCACTAAGTAGGAGTCATTTTTTACATATTTTTATTAGCACAGTAACAAATGCAGACTTAAGTAGCCCACAACATACAACCAATCCACTGAGTGACTCCTATTCCACGCCTTACAGTTAAACAGCTTAAGGTATTTCACTACAGGTTGCCATAAATCCTGATTAAAACCTTTATTCTTTTCACAAAGGTAGATTGGCATATAAAATAATACATTAACTACTTCTCATTTCCTATATGAGGCCATATATCCACTCCTCCATACGACATATCATGAGATGAGTCTTTAAAAAGGAATTGTTAAATACCAACACACCCTCCCGAGGGGGAAAATCCCAACATCTTTTACAAAAACAAAAATCCCAGTGTGTAGAGTCTTCAAAGGACTTTTACATAAATGTCAACATATGTACCTGTACAAAATTAAGCTGTTTTATCTTTTACATATCACAAGCAACTGAACCAAAAAAAAATCTAAGTTTACATTCTCCTTGGTACTATATGTGAGCTAATATTGCTGAACTAATGACAGTCTTAAAATATGCTATTCCCAATTCTAGCTGTCTACTGTAGCAAGATACCTTAAGTTACAACAACAAAATCTTAGGAAATAAAAGACTGAATAAAATCTGTTATAGAAATACCCTACTCTTTACCAGCACCCTCCCTCCCCCCTCTTCAAAATCAATAAGCAGCTCTTTCCATCACAGACAAATAATGCAAGAGTTTGACAAAAATCCATTTTATGTAGCATATCTTTTGGTCCACTGTCTGGCCATTCTGTCATGCTCTGCTCTGTTAGTCATATACTGAGTGGCAATGCTTCCAACCAGAGGGTCAGCTAGAAAGAAAGAAAAAGTTCTTGCTCAATTTAGTTAAGAACTGGGACAAACATAAAAGAAAAAGTTGAGAACTTATGTGATATGTTTCCCAAAAGCATTCATAGGGGGAGGGGAGGGTTCCATGGTAGAAAACTGATTCATTTTATAGTACTGAGGTGGTTAGACTTCCAAGAGGCGGCCAGACCTTAATTTGTATATGTATATTTATGGGGCTTTATAAGTGATTGCTGAATGTGGCAGGAAAAGAGTCACTAATTCAAGTTTTAAGGAAGTAAAAGACACTTACGCTTTGCCATTTTTGCAGGTTATATTGTAGAACTTTACCTGACCTCTGTGCTTCAATTTATTTTAACATTTCTAAAGCTGTATGCATGTCCCAGTACACCTATATCAATATAAATCTGGTTTCCATGAAAGATTAGATCAGGTTTTTGGGGTGAAGTATTCATAGCAGAATGCCTTAGCTAATACACTTGTATAGAAGTTAGAAGAAATTTGATAAGTTTTGCGTATTTTGTGTTACTGCGGTGTACTTAATTAACTAAGCTGAAGACAGGAGGAAAGCACTAAATGTATTAACAACAATTCTTAACTGACTTTATATATAAAAATATGGTGGTGGAATGTTGGAAGAAAGTTTGTTCTAGAAACATTTACTATAAAGCTGAACTGGAGCTTCCAGGAAAATGTCCAGCATGTTATCTTCTCAGCCTTGTTTATGGGGGTACTTTTTAAATACATCTACTCCATTACCAAATCACCAGAATTTCAAATGGTACAGACACCACACATGAATGGTATTTAAAAAGATCACTTTCTTTTTAGCTGGAATTTCAATTTACAGGAGGATTGTCTGAGATTTTTCTGCTTGCTGCTTTCTTTGCAGTGCAACTTGTAAGAATGGGCAGGCATATAGAATTATCAGAACAACTTCTAGCATCCTTCAGAAAGCTTGGGCTTTTGGGGGGAGGGAGGAGAGACCCAGGAATTCCCTTCTCCAAGAACTTGATCCTATGCTCATTGAGGTCAATGTCAAAAGCTCCTTTTGATTTTAATGATGCAGGATCAAGGTGTAATTTACTAAAATGACAGATGATCCATATCAATAGTGACATCATTTGTTAGCAGTGGTTCTCAACCTTTTTGAGCATATCTTTTCAATCTATTAATATTTCACAGATGCAATATCTGGGAGAGGAAAAGGAAAAGTAGGGAAGGAAAAAGAAAAGAAAAGTAAGGTCGGGCCCACTGCAATGGGAACTACAGGTTAAGATCCACTGTGTTAGGGCATGAGGGGCTTACCAGGGTTGCAGTCTGTAAGAAGTGAGCAGATGGACAGGAGAACTTTAGAAATAGTTAGTGCTGGACTCCAGTTGTCTTTTAAAATGTCAAGGCAGATCACTCCTTGGCTGTTAATATTACAGTGATAGATTCTTGTCCGAAATGTAACCTAGAAAAACCAGAAAACACAAAAGAATGTGTGGTAACAAGTAACTACAAAGTTGTAAGTTTGACTTCACAGTTTTAAACAGGAAAATTATAGGAAACCCAACATTTAATTCAGATTAAAAGTAACTCCAGCTCTGCAAGGCCAAGCTGTAAAAGCTAATCTTTCACTTTTAATTCAGCTTTAGTATAAGTTTGTAGAGTGCGGATAAATGTCTTTCCTATCAGAGTAATCAGAATAATGGATAATAATATGAGGGGAAGAGGGTTAGATTCCTGATGAGCTGCTGCCCTCTGGTGTCAATTGGTTTTATTACAAGAGCTTTAAATCATTTTTTTAAACAAGTATTTACTATTGTGCTGATCTTTCTTTTGTTTTCCATATTATTTTATGCAAAAAGAAAAATAATGGTTATATTTCATTTGTAGAAGAAAAGTGTGAACCAATTCAATTCACATTTAGCTTAAATTTCACATATGTAGTATTTACTTTTAAATGAAAATTAGAAGTAATGAGCTATGCTTCTCATTTGTACAAACTGAACAGATAAAACTGAATTCTTTATACTTCATAAATTCCATAAGATCAGCGTGGATGGTCAGTTTCTCTCCAAGCTAAATTTCCTGCAAAAAATCATTGACTGTTAATGGAACTTTTTTTGGTAATTTTATATTTGCTGCACAATTCTCACTTCATTTCTAATGCAAGCAGTATTTCAGTTAAAGGACAAGACTAGATTTGCCCCTCCCTTCCATGCCCCAGCTTTCACATAAATGGACTGTAGAGGAAGGTGACAAATGGAAAAGTCTCCTATCTATCCAAGAGGCTACCACACAGCATGTCCAGGCCAATATTTGTAGCAGATTCCCATTAAATCCCCCACATCAGAAGGTAACAGAACTCCACCTGGTCACTAAACAGGTAAAAAATGGACCACTAAAGCCCAGAAGCGAGCAAGTAAGGATGGGGGAGGGGGATGGAGTAAGGGAGGGAGGGGGATGGAGTAAGCAGGGTAGGGCCTTGGAGAAGGGCGAGGGCAAGGCTGTTTGGTGTTGTTCAGTCAGAACAGGGGTGGGCAATAATTTTAACGGGGGAGAGGGGGCACTCCAAGAATTTTGGCAAGTGGTCAAGGGCTGCATTTCTACAAAGGGAGTATGGAGTCTAGGACAGAGGTTGGGTGCAGAAGGGAGCTTGGGGTAGTGGACTGAGGTACGTGGGGGGTGTTCAGTCTGAGAGGGAGTTTGGATGAAGAAGGGGGTTGTGATCTGGGGCAGAGGCTTGGAGTGCAGGGCCAAAGTGGAGGTATGGGTGCAGGAGAGGATTCTGGCCTGGGGAAGGGGCTCCAGAAGGGGGTACAGGATCTGGGAGGGAGTTGTGACCTGGGAGAAGGAGGTGCAGAGGGTTTGGGTGGTGGCTTGGGGCAAGCAGTTGTGGGGGGCAAAGAGGGACAGGGGTGTCACAGACAGGCTCTGGCTGGGAGGCGCTTATCTAGGTGGCTCCCAACCAGCAGCCCTGTGGGAACCTGAGCTGCAGTCACAAGCTGCTCCACGTGGCTCTACTCCGGGCATGGTGGGTGGAAGGAGGAGACTTCAATGACTGTGCCCCTGCCTCCTGTAAAATTTCTCAGCTCCTATTAGCTGGAAACTGGCCAATGGGAGATGGGAGATTTTGCTGAGGGGGGAGAGAAGAGCAGGACAGAGCCTCCCTTCTCACTCCCTAGCATCCAGAGTACAAAGCAGCCACGTTTAAAGCGGCTGCTGCTGCACTGTGCTTGAGGGTCCTCGTGAGGCAGTTGCAGGCCGAATCCGGCCCACTAGCCACCTCTTGCCCACCCCAGGTCAGAAAGTTGGCAAACCTAACCTCCATTCTTAGGGTGGCTGCTGCAGTGAGAGGGTTTTACAGTTCCCGTAATCTAAGGCTGTGGAACAACTCAGAACAGGTAAAATAATGAAAGTGAAACAGTAGAAAAACCTTGCTGCTCTGCCCCAGGCGTCCCCAAGTCAGCTTCTGCTGAAACTGACCAGCGCTGACTACAGGAAGCCCCAGGCAGAGTTGCTCTGCCCCGGGCTTCCTGGAATCAGCTGCTGATCAGTTTCAGCAGCAGCTGACTTGGGGACGCCTGAGGATCTTAAGTTGATTCTGTATGTAAGTCAGAACTGGCGGGCACGTTCAGCAGTGTCTGAATCTGGACGCCAGTTCCGACTTTAAGTTGATTCTGTATGTAAGTCAGAACTGGCGGTCAGTTTCAGCAGTGTCTGAATCTGGACGCCAGTTCCGACTTACATACAGATTCAACTTAAGAACAAACCTACAGTCCCTATCTTGTACGTAACCCGGGGACTGCCTGTATGTCAAAGTTGTATTGTATCAGAGTAGTCCAGAGATGAAGAAAGCTTTTCAAAGCCTCCCTTCTTCAGAGTTCCAAAATCTCATGATTTTATGGTACGTTTTCTGATAGTTACAGTTTTGCTTCTGGAGAGAAGTGACTGTGAGAATTCTAACACTCGCATAAAGTAATTTAAAAGGTTCCTAGACTTATGGCTGCAAAGAAGAGTTTGAAAATGTGGTCTAAGTGTACCCTAAAAACAGAAGGAACCTCACATTTTTAATGTAGAAGAATCATGATTTTTAAACCAATTTTGTGAATTTGGAGGCCCACCTTATGATTTTTGAACATCTGGGGTTGACGATTATTACTTCCTCTACCCCAGAACAGGTATGGATTCTGTCAATGAGCAATCAAACTCTTCCCTATTCACTCTGCTTAAATTATAGAATGTATGCAGTCACCACAATGTCCATTTTCAGGATGTGGAAATGAAAGTACCAAGTTCAAGTACTGATCTGCCCAAGGGCTAGGGTTTCCAGGTGTCTGGTATTCACCCGGACAGTCTGGTATTTTCAGCTCCTGTCCGGTAAAAAAAAATTCAGAGAATACCGGACACCCGAGATGTCTGGTATTTTCTGAATTTTTCCCCAGCTAGGAGGTGAAAATGCCGGGCACCTGGCAACCCTACAAACACTCAGCTCCTGGCCTCCCACTCCCCCCGCCAGCCCCCATGCTTACCTGGTTCCCCAAAGCTGCTGGCACAAAATGGCTGCCAGCCAAAAGACCAAGGAGAAGCAATGCTTCTCCTGGGTCTTAGTGCTCAACCACTCCCCTGTTCCTATCCCTGCACTCACTCTTACAGGGGACATGCTGTTTTAATGCTGTTTTATTTTAATTTTTTTTTTTTTGGCTTAAGAAGTCCTTGGAGTCCTTTTTTTTCCCCCTCAACTTTGGTCCCCCCTCCTTTTTACCCTTCAACAGAATTTGTTCCCGGTGGTTTTTTTTGGGGGGGGGGAGAGGGGGAGGGAGGGCTGTTCAGTATTTTTGTTTCAACCATCTGGCAACCCTATAGGGCACACAGCAAGTCAATCTTGTTTCAATCTTGGTCGCAGACTCAAACACAACAGTGCAGTAATTCGTGTTATCAAAGCTATGGCCAAAGTTTTCATGATTTGGTTACCTAAAGTTAGCATGAGACCCAAGTTTTTTATCTTGTTCTTACAGATTAACAAACATGGCTCACAATTTAACACCAAGATTTCTCTCATATTCTGCCATCTTAAAATCCACGTAGAGCAGCCAGATATTCGAAGAGGCAGCACAAGTGTAGCTGCCATTGACTTGAAGGAGCTCAGCACTTTTGACAATTCAGTCCATTTTTATTTAGATTCTTAAGTACGTACTTTGGAGCCTCATTTTAAACACAGGCTAAACAGGGCCTATGTCTCCACATGAGGAAGAAACGCATTTAAAAATATCCAAACTCTGCAACCTTCCCTCTCATGCGTGAACACAGGGAAGTCAATAAAACTACCAGCATGAATTATAATTGTTCACCTGAGTAACAGCCGTCAGATCATATCCTTAAATCTCAGAAATTGCCAGCTGTTCATGCCCATAAATCTTATTGTCTATTTATTGATAGCAAGGGTAGTGGTGACTTGTACATTCAGTAGGCGTGTGGCATAAGAAGAATGCACCAGTGTTTTTTCTGGGATTAGACTGGCCCACACGTTAAACTCGTCTGTCTTCCCTTGTAGCTGTTCTGCTGCGTTCCTGGATCTGTCTAGCATTCAGCTATGTGAAAAAACAGTGCTCATGCCTCTCCCTCTCACTTGGTCTCTGAGTGGGAACACTGGCAGGGGTGTGGCATGCATAGTTTCCTAAGCATTGCATCTTTATACTTTCAAGAACTTGCATGCTATGCAGAGTACGGCAACTCTCTTCATTAGCAGAGGTTCAATAGCCTGTGACCCAGGAGACACTCCCACGCTCTGCTCTCTCATGCTCTCACACTACAGTTCATCTAATATTTTAGAAATGTGCATCTGTCTGTATGTCTGAGAGTCCATTTGTTCAAGAACTCTTCCAGCACAGTAAGAGCTAGGACCACCAGTTTTGGGATGCAGCTTCCTCTTCTCCTAACTTAAAGGAAGGTCAAGGTTTGGGTGGGCCAAGAAAACAGAAACTGCCAGTAATAGGATGGTTTCCCACAACATGGAAAGGGAGGGGGAAGAGAGGAGGGGCGCGATACTGAGAGTGGTCACTGGGGGCAGTCACATCACCAAGAGAGTGGCCAGCAGGACTGGGGCTCCACCACCTTGACTGGCTAGCACACCAGTAAGTAGCCCCTTTGCCCCAAACCCTTTCTCCTCCCCAGCCCTGGGCTGCAATGTTGGACAGGAGGCACTGGGGGAAGGGAAGGGCTCCTAGCAGCCAGGGAGGTGGCTGGGGGAAGACAGAAGGCTCCTAGCGTCGGGGGAGGAGGGGCCAGAAAGTCCTGCCAGATGGGACCCCCCCCCGCCCTGAGCCTCTCCTCACCCCTCAAGCCTCCTGCCCTGTTCCCGCCCATATCCTCAAGGTCCTGCCCAGACTCCTGCACCCCCCACACCGCCAGTCCCAGGCTATATGGACCCAGACAACACAGGCTAAGTCTTCTGGTTCTTTATAAATT